ATCTATCCAGGGTGAAGTAAAAAATTTTGATAAGAACAAATATAAGTCATGTGACATTATTATTAAAATAAGTCCAACACATCTGGAGATTTCAAAATTACCAATTGAAACTATCTATGACTCTTACTAATCTCACAAATAATGGACCTATTAAGGTGTTTAAAATTTTTATTATCATTATTTATTAAAATTTGCATTATAGTTTTTTAGAAATAATTCCTCAACAAAAAAAGTTCATCTTGGAATTGAGTTAACTACTGAACAAATGCAAAAGGTTGATGACGGGTTTTAAGGGATCTTTCAACTAACAATTCAATGATGCAAGTGGTAAATTAGCTAAATATGATTTACCTGAAGATATCTTAAAAGAAAGAAGAGTACTTGTACTCCTGTCAGATCTTATTTATCATCAAAAAAAGTTCATTGTTAAATTTATTTATAATAATAGTTATACATAATTAGAAATCACAGCAAAATAATTATAAAAAATAATAAAAATCAGATTTATTAATATGAATTCAGGATGAAATTAATTTTGAAGGATTGAATAAACCTGAAATTATAAAACTTCTTGGATCAGTTGGGTTTGATAAAATTTATAAAGGAAATGATTATTGTCATCATCCGAAGACATTGAACTTTGTAATATCAGAGGATATAGTTATTTAATGAAAACATCATTTTGGACTTCTAGTAAAGAAGTAGTAAGGTTGGTTAGTTAGTCATTATAATAACACTATTTTTGTTCAATCAGTAATACATACATATAACATTAAAAAATCAGAGGATTAATTCAAATATGACTGCTACAGATCTTTGGATGAAAGGTTTAGAAATATTGGAAGATGAACTTTTAACAAATAGTGATGAAAATGAATCACTTGATAGGGATAGCAGTAATATAAATATAATGGACAAGAAAGAGAATGAACTAGACATGAAGGTTAGGTAATAATAATCATAAAATTTTTTTATAATAGCAAAATTTTTTACTTGTTCTATTGGCTATTTTGCATATCACTGAAATAATTGGATAATAATAAAGATAACTCAATTTTATTGTCACAATCACTTTGTATACTAAGCAAAAATCAATTTTCACAATGATTCACATAATATACTCAAGTTTTATAATATTTTGTTTACAAATCAATAATTTTATTAGCTTTAAAAGTTAAAGTAAAAATTTTTTAATAACCTAATTGTCAAGTTTTAACATCTCTAGATAATACAATAAAAAATGTGTGCCATGCTTTAAAATATATATATATATATTTATAATGATTTGTTATATTACCATTGTGATTTAAATTAAGCATAAAATATTTATATCATTTTTTCATTCAATAATTAAACCTAATTGTCAAGTTTTAACACATCTTAATAACATAATAAAGAATCTGTGTCATGTTTTGAAATATATATATATGTAAAGAGTGGTCAAATATTTATTGAGAAATTAAAAATTAAAAATGTAAATTTTGGATCATCAATTTGGTATAATTAATAATTAGTTGGATAACCGATTTTTTTACAGCATCTATTCTCCTGGGCATACTATCAATTAAATTTGCCAATATGTCTATTCAAATTGATACCATTCTTCTTCCAGGGCAGCAAAAAGATCATCTTTATTTCTCACATTTTCCAACTCTTCTTTCAAACTCATCCCATAAATTTTCTATTGTATTTAAATCTGGGCTCTGGGGTGACCAAGGAAGTGAAAGAACATTATGACCTTGTTTAAATTGTTCAATCCTGCCTGCTCTATGGGGTTAAGCATTATCTTCCTGAAATGCACATAACTTTGAAGAGTCCAAAGATTGAAGAAAAGGTAATAAGTGATCTTTGAATATTTTTTCATATATTTCATCTGTAATGCTACCATCAACTCATATAAGTGGACCTATTTTATTTTGAGTAAAGCATCCCCATACCATTATTCCAGGTGAGTGGGCAACCTTAGGTACTAAACAACCAATTTTATATTTCTTGTAGGGTTGTCTCCAAATCCATTTTTGGAAGTCATTGTCAAATACAGCGAATCTTTGATTCATCACCCATTCCACTCTGGCCAATTTTTACAATATCTCACAAAATGACAATGTTTCTTTCTATTTACTTCTGATATTAATGGCATTCTTTTCCTTGTACATGCATGATAACCCATTTCATGTAAATTTCTTTGCACTGTTATTGTACTTTAAGGCCTTGTGAGAACCTTATTTATCTCATTTTTATAATCCTCTACTCCATTTTTCCTATTTTCTCAGACAATTTTTGCTAAAGCACATTTATCTATCTAAAAATGACTTGAGTCTCCCACTTTTCTTATCATTTTCAACCATTCCTTCTTTATTATATTTTTCTAGAATATTATTATATACAGTTCACAATTGTATCCCAAGTCTTTTGCTGTCTTACATCACACTTCAAAGCATCAACTACCTCTGCATGCTCAATAGTCGATAATTCTCTAATTTTAGTCATTTGATTTAAAATGTTATATATGATTTAAATGAGACATGTTAAAACTTGACAATTAGGTTTTGTTATCAATTGAAAATTTCTAAAATTATAATAGTAAACAAAATATTAAACTCGAGTGTTAATTATTATTACTGGTATATATATGTGCGGATTTTTTAATGTTGCACGTATATATCATTAAAATAACCAAGGATTTAGATAAACTTTAAAATGTAAACTCTCGATAATCAAGCAAGCTGAAGGAATAATCTTTCTGCGATTGTATTTCCAAAGAATAAATTAATAACCTGTCAGAGAATTTTTTCATTTTATATTAGTAAAAAAATTTTTTATAAAGGTTCAAAGTTATCAATTTTATTGATTTTACTATAAACAATGGAAATTTAGATAGACTTTAAAATGTAAAGGCTCAATAACCAAGCGAGCGGTGTGTATAATCTTTCCGCGAATGTATTTACAAACACTAAATCAATAGTCTATCAAGAGTTTTTTCATTTGTATTAGTAAAAAAAATTTTTTGTAAAGGTTCAAAGTTATCAATTCTATTCGAAATAACGATTAAAAAATCCGCATATATGAAATTTTTTATTTTTTATTATGAACAATTAATAACAACAATAATTCTATATAAATATTTATAATTGATTAAATGCTTAAGCCATTAAGCGTGATATACTTTCTTTTTGACAAATTAGATCGTAATTTATGGAACCCTTGGATTGTATTACCTTGATATTACCAAGTTGATGGTGGATCCATCTTGAGATTGATTCGGAATATTTGTGTTTTGATGTTATTATTATTTCATGAAAACTTATGATGCATCATTCTATATGGTAACACATAATAATTGTTGCATTTAAAAATTTTTTTGAAGATAATAAAATAAAGAATGTGTCAGTTGGTGTTACCAGGATAGTAGTTTAAAAGGCAAAAAAAATTCGGTTATTAGAATCTTTTTTCGGACAAAAATGCTTAAAAGGCTGCAGTTTTATGTGTGACAATGCCCCTCTTCCGGCATATTAATGTGAATTATCTATTTCTTATTCATTCAATAAAATGAAATTAATTTCCTAGTTTATTAATATAAAGAATTCGAATATATATTATTATTGTATTCCTAATACTAACGATAATAGATTTGACGCAAGCATGTTTGTTGTTGGGTCACAGGTTTAATAATCGTTGAAAAATGGCCTAATACTAATAAGTTCAGTTTTAGCACTTAGGGTTAAAGGTTCATCGACCAGGAAATGAATTTTTAAGTGGGGGGAACTTTTATTTAAAAATCACGTTGATCAAATTGGATATTAAACAAAATACTGGTAATGGTGGATATATCAGCGCTAATAATAATGATGGTAATAATGGTAGTAGTAGTAATCAAAGAAATAATTGTATTTTATCAAATTAAAATCTTCTTACTGTAACAATGGCATTAACCGCCACTACATATTAATATTATAGACAAGTGTGGATTCAATTGATATTTGGACATAAATTCTACATATGTTGAAAACGTTCAACCAATTCCTCCCAACGATTCCTAAATTTAAAATCTTGAATAAAATATTCGGCATAGTAATTAAAAGAGAGATCCTGTCGATGATGCTAAATATTTGATAAAAGTGAAAAAATAAAATATTCAATATTTAAGATATACTAACCAACATCACCACATCTAACATCTAAATCTAAATCATATTATCGACAAGAGACGGTAAATACTACTCTACGTGATAGAGTTGGTAATAACTTGTCCATTGAGACAAATGAATTTTGATCCGGTCCATTGCCATTAGTCAAATAATAAATATAGTCAAAATGGGCAGAGTCATGATCAACCGTGCCACACGTGACAATATTTTTTTTTGATTTGGTGACGATATGAAGCGGGACCTCTTTAATTTATGGAGATACTATTATTAATTTTTAAAAATCATTTATTTTACCAAAAAGCTCTTCACAATTAATGTCGTGCTGATATGCATGCAAATCATCATATTATTTTATTTTTAATGACGAATAATTTGTTTGATGAGCAAAATCATCATATTATTTTATTTTTAATGACGAATAATTTGTTTGATGAGCAAAATCATCATTTTATGAATGAAAAATGAATTGAATAAATCAATCGAGAAAATATTACAGTCTAGTATTTTATTACTGAAATATGAAAAGTTATTTAACTGAAAAACAATTGTATGTTTCATATCGATTGAATGGTTTAGGTTGCTCAACTGATCCAGGTTCGTATAATTACGCCCTGAACTTGCAATCAAAAGACGACATGAATATTTATGTTTATTTTGTTTATTTATGATCAAATGATTTACACCAATCTAATATGTTACATTTTATTCTATATTTATCCAAATTATATATTTTTTTATAGATTATTATTAGCAAATAAATAAATACATAAAAAACCTTTCATCTCTCCCGTTTTCCATTTCTCCACTTTTCATTATTTGTTTATTCGATAATAATTATTTTAAAAGTCCAAAATGACTCAAGTTTCAGGTAAATTTTTATGTATTTATATATAAATTTATAAAGATATATTTACAATTTATTATTACCTTAAAGAATCACTGGGAGATAACAACAAAAACGATAATAATAACAGCGACAATGATGGTAATAATAGTGATCCAGAAGAATTTGTAAAGTAAGTGTTTCATGATATAAAAAGTTATTACATTTTTTATTATCAAGTTGATCAAAGTTGAAAAAAATTATATTTTTGTATCATTGATTTTTAAGTAAAAGTGGAGGAAAAAAACCTGTTTATTACTTGAAATAATATTAAAATATAATTTTTTAACTGGGGTGGTGGTACATGAATTATTAGTAGATAATCTTATGATTTTTAAATGTTATAAAAATAATTTAATAATAGTTTTTTTTATCGTGATTATTTTTTTTTAAAAAAATTGATTTTTTAGAGAAACGGATCAAGAATTGATAAATAATGATAGTATATTGCCAAATGGTTTACGAAGAATTAGAGATGATAGATCAATTTCATATAATGATAATAACGATGGCGGTGTTTCTAAAAATCTAAACACAACAAAAATAATGAATCACATAGATCTTGCAAGATTCTCAACTGAATCTTTACACAGTTATAGTTTTGTCGCAAATAATGGTTTATCATTAGAAAATAGACAAAATATTCTCTATCGATCCATAGATTTTATGAAGAATAAAATAAAAGGATGGAAATTTCCTATGATCCAACAAGCCCCGTTTTCTTCTGTCAGAACTTCCCTTTCTTCTTCCTCTTCTATCGCACCAACTGATATCATTCTTCCTTGCGAATCAATCAATTCAAGTTCACTTAATTCTCCTAGGAATTTAAAACAAACATTGACTGGACTTCCTTCAATCTATACTCCTATGACATCATCAACTTTACATTCTCCAACCAGGTTTACACCTCAAAATCAAGCTATAATCACGACTGATAATAAAACCAATATATTAAGTGTTAATGATATCACCTGTCTAGTATTTGGTTACTCTAGGACTGAAATATTAAGTATTAAGGCGTTGGAATTGATTGGTAGCCCATTTCGTGAAAAATTGGCTCAAACACTTGCTTCCAGGCTTCAAAATGAAATGGATAATTCTGAAGCTGTGTTAGCATGTGGTAGAGTGGTATTGTATATATTATATTTTTATATATTTTACTCTATATATTACAACTGTGTGCCAACAAAAATTATATTGCATTTGTTTAATGGTTAGATACCAATTCAAAGAAAAAATGAAGAAACTTCTGCAGCTTCATTATGGTTAAAGGTGAAAAAAGATGAGTGTGGAAATTCGGTGTTCATTTGGATTTTTGAAGAAATTATTGAATCAACGATGACTGTCGAAATTAATGAAAAGGTTTGTATTATTATTATTATTATTGTTGTTATTATTATTATGAATTAAATTCATATATGTATATATATAAACACACGTGATAAATAAATCTATATATATATGTTAATAGGGAACAATATTAAAAACTTCTGGTGAAGTAAAATCTTTGTACGGGTATTCGCCAGAAGAACTATTAGGTGTGAATATACTTACTTTAATTCCAAATTTAGAAATAATCAAAAAATTTGATGATAATCATATGGACAAAGACATTGTAGACACTGATACTACTAGTAATAATAATAATATTTCTAACGAAAATAATAATGATTTGTATTCATTTTATTCAATATTGGACATTGAAAAAATAAATAAAACAAAATTTTATGGCAGTAAATCAAAGAATGGTGGAAACTTTCCAATCATAGGAAAAATCACTTTACAATCCACCAAAGAAGAAAACGATGAGAATAATCAAAATAATAATAGTGGTGGTGGTGATAGTAGTGGTGTTGATGGTGGTAAAAGATACGGACTTAAAATCATTTCAATTCCTACAATTGCTGGTGTTATAACTTCCCATGCTACTGGTGTTATTCAATCATGCAATTCTGACTTTGTTAAATATTTGTTTGGTGTTGGCGCACAAGAACTAATTGGAAAAAAAAATATTGATAAATTGTTACCACAATTTCCTCATCTTTTAAAATTTTTGGAATCAGAAAGTGGGCTTGTCGAAGGAATTGTGATTTCCGAAAATGCTTTTCGAAGAGCTGCTTCATCATCATCAGTTGCTACTTCTCCTACAAATCTATTCCTTTACAATACCCATCAAAGAGATTATTCATCTGCTGCCAGTATAACATCAACATCATCAACATCAACATCATTTCCTTTTTCATCTCATAGCCCTTCGGGTATAATTGCTGTACATAGAGATGGTACAGAATTTGATGTTGATATACAAATGCGTGTTTTGGAAGCTCCAGATGAACCATTACACGCATTATGGATTACTTATGATCGTAGTGTAAACACTTTTAAAGATCAAGCTTTCACCATTAATAAAAAATCAAAAATTGAAGCAGTTGATGAAAATTATAATATTGATTATAATAATAACAACAACAACAATAATAAAATCATCAGAACAGTAGAAGAAAGAAAGGAAGAGGGAGAAGAAGAAGAAAGTTTTGGTTTGTCTAAATTCATAGCAGCTGGTGGCAAACCATCATTATCAGGAAAATTATCATCAGTTGAAAGTCATCAAATCATCACCCCGCCTTCAATATTACCTAATTCTGGCTCATTTGATAATATAAGATATTCGGCATTAACTCTGTCAAAATCTATTAATGATTTTCAAATAATTGGTATTTTGGGTAGTGGAGCTTATGGTGAAGTGAAATTGGCATATAATAAAAATGATCCAGAAAAGGTACATTAACAATAACATTATTATTAATATTAATAAATCATCAATTGATTAATTCTTTTTGTTTATTTGTTAGAAAAAAGTTGTTCTTAAATATGTTATTAAATCTCGTATACTTGTTGATTGTTGGACATGTGACCAATTATTGGGTACTGTTCCATTAGAAATTCATATACTCCATACATTAAGAGGCATTCCAAATCCCAACATTGTACAAATGGGTAAATCTACATAGTAACAATTATTTTTTATTCGTTATTTTTTTATTATTAAATAATTTAATCAATTAAAATAAATAAATAAATACAGTTGACTATTTTGAAGACAAAGATCACTATTACATTGAAATGGGATTACATGGTGCCGGGATGGATTTATTTGACTATATAGAACTTAACACTAAAATGCCCGAATCCGAAATAAAATCTATATTTCGTCAAATCGCAAGAGCTATTCAACACTTGCATAATCATAAAATTGTACATCGTGACATTAAAGATGAAAATGTGATACTTGATGAAAATAACAATATTCAATTGATAGATTTTGGATCTAGTGCATATATAAAGGAAGGTAAGAAATACGATACTTTCTGTGGAACTGTTGATTATGCTGCTCCCGAGGTTAGTAATAGTTAATAATAACGATTAATTTTTTTTCTTGTTTTTTTTTTTTTCAAAGTTCCATTATAATTAATTATTTTTTTTAATGCAAAAAAATAATATATATTTAGGTATTAATCGGTAAAAAATATGACGGGCCACCACAAGATATTTGGGCATTAGGAATATTATTATACACACTTATATATAAAGAAAATCCATTCTATAATATTGACGAAATTATTGCCGGAGATTTAAGAATTCCTTATATACTGTCCGAGGGATCAATTGATCTTGTCAAAAAAATGCTTGAACGTGATGTTGATAGACGTCCAAATATGGACGAAATTTTAAATCATCATTGGTTGCTTGAAGATTAACATAATAAATAATCAGCTAAAACATTGAAAATTAATAATAAAAAAAGTTTTTATTTAAAATAGATTTGTTTAATTTTTAATGAAAATAAAAAGAGGAGTTTATATCTATTGCACATTTACAATAATTAGATTTGTACATTTAATTTGGTGTGCTTTTGTAATTTACAACATATATAATTTAATTATATAGAGATTTTCTTCAACATAGATTGTATTTTTTATTTATTTTAATTTTTTTATTTTTAATTTAATATTTTTTTTAATACAACCACCAATATACATTCGTTTTATCAAACATATATAGATAAAAATGTATATTTAGATATATAAAAATTTTGCATCATTTCAATTACAATTTTTTTTTTTTGTATATAAAACGCTATTTCTTTTAAAAAACTGCATAACCAAACATTTTCTCTATTTGATACTGTGATCAACCATATATTTTCAATATATGAAGATGATATATAATTATTTAATAAGGAAATTATTCTTAATGCATTGTTTCTTTACTGGTTTATCCACTTCTTTATGAGCAATTTTAATAATGAATTATTAGTTAAATTATAAGTGATGATTAAAAAATGTTATTATTATTATTATTATTAATATTATAATTTTATTAATTATATACCTGATGATCTTCTTTCATATTTTTTTGATATCAAAAACTGATAAATTGATATAAAAAAGCATGCTAGAACTTGTGCAGCAAGAAATAAATTGATTTTATTTCATTAAAAAATTCTTAAAGAGATCATTAATAGAATAAAAAATAGTTATTTTTTGTAATTCATCTATATCAAAAAATTTAATTATATAAGAATTAAAATAATTAAAATTAGACTATTGCGTTCTTTTAAAGTTGTGTTTTTAATATTCGTTATTTATTCATAATATATTTTTTTTTTGATTTGTATGGAGATGATTTTTTTGATGATTTTGAAGGAGTTTTTTTTATAGGTGAATGCTATCAAAAAAAAAAATAATAAATTAAAATTAATAAAGCAACATAGATGTATATATCGATGAATGAATCTGCAAGTTGGTGCGTGAATATTTTTTGAAGTCTACAGAAAAATAAATACCTCATTATATCGCACAGGTAGTCCTTTAGATGCGCTTCGAGCAGTTAGCCGATCACTGCTGAACGGAATATTGGTTAAATGTCCGGTATGTGGTTGTGCAGCAAGTTCACGATTAATTTGCTATAGAATTCATATTTATTTAATTAATTGAATTATGAGAGTTTTTATTTTAGATGATTAAAATAGCTTACTTTTTGGGATTTTTGTTTTTCATATCTTGATGATTCTGAATGAGTCTTTATTCCCATTTTACGATATTCTATTTTTTTCTGTATGTTTTCTTTTATTCTATCTTCCTCTATATTGGGAAAAAAAATTTTATTGCAATATTAATATTATTGTTGAATTATAATTTAGAACATTATGTTAATATATACGTAAAACCTACCAATTAAATCGTCTCTAAATGTAGTATAATCTCTTTTACATAATAATTGAGTATACGGTTTAACCTTATTTGCCAGTTCTTTTTCTTCTTTGGTTTTATAATTTTCATCCTCAAATGTTTTCTAAAAAGGCATGTAAAAATATTTAGTGGTTATTATTATTACTATGTAGTTGATTAATTATTTAGAAATATATATATTATGATGATTATATGTTACATTAATTTTATAATTTATTAAATCATGCTCTAATATTAATCTTTTCCTGTCTGCTCGTTTCTCTAATTTTTTGTCGTATATTTCCAACATTGATACTTTTAACTCTATTAAAAAAGTGAAAACCAATCAATCAATAAATTAATTATATATATTTATATTCGTATATTCACATGTTTTAATTACACACCAAAATCTAGCTGTGAATCCTTATCCGTTATTTCCAAATCTTTAATGTATAATTCTGCATCGTTCTCATACTCCATCTCAAACTCTTTTCGGAGTGGCATATATCCACAAATTTCGTGATTGGATGGTAAACTTTGCATTGGCTATTTAATTAATGATTTCATTCAAATAACACACATGTATGATTAATTATTAAAATTTTTTTTTTAAAAAAAAAAAAACAAAGATATTATGATTTTTCATATTATTATTATTATTATTAATTATAATAATAACCTTTTGACTCCTAAGAGTTTTTGCCGCTGAGCCTGTCAAATAAAATTAATTAATTAGTTGATTTTTTTTGGGGGGGATAATCAATGCTATTATTATCGTTGTTGTTGTTTACTTTTAGGAATATCTGTCATCTCATAACGACGTCGTTTTCTTTCTCTCATTGATTCTTCATCAATATTAAATTTCAGATTAGCATTCTATATTATATAATAAATATAAAATATATATGCACATTTGTATAATTATATTAAATTAGTATCAGTGATCAAAATTTTTTGAAAAGTTCAATATTCACTCTGTTATTCACATTACCTCAGTTTTTGGTAGTGGCCATTTATCACTATTGTAATAAACTTCATAATAGTGTTTTTCACATTCTTCTTTTGATTTCGTTCTAACAAACCCTGAAACATCTTCCCAGTTACCCATCCCGTGCGCTTCTAATCCTTCTATCAACAATTCTTCTTCATCTGCTGCCCAATCCTCTGTAAATAATGGAAATGAAAATTGTTCCTAAATCAAAAAAGCATCAAATAGATTTAATAAATATGCATATACATGTATATATATTATTGAATTTTCTTTTTCTTGAATCTAATATATATTACAATATTTTTAACCAATAGTTGATGTAGATAATAGTAGGTAGTAGTGAAATTATTTGGTGTATGTGTTATTATGTTATTAAACAAGAGATCGCTTACCAGCACTTGATAATCATGATAATTTTTATGTTCACCAACTTCTTCACCGTTGGAAAAGCAAGTAACACACAGAGTAACATCTTTACATTGAAGACAATTTACTCGAACGGGATTAACTAATTTGGCTTGACAAGCTTTGCATTGAAACATTTTTAAAAATGGTTTTTCGCTTTTCTGATTTGTTTATCTTTCCCTCTTTAATTTACAAAAATTAAAAAATTATTAATTTATACTGCAATCAACTAAAACTTATGATAAAAAATTTATTTGTGATTTTTTTTGTGATTTAATTAAATTTTATCATTATATTTTTATATTTTGTTGTGGTTCCACCAAAACACAAAATTTCATAATAAGATTGCTGGTTCAATCACGTGGCAATTTATTATTAATATTAAGCATAGCTAAAAATTCTTTTATGAATGGATCGGCGTTACACGCATTTAATTAAAAGAAGATCAACAATTTATATGTGAAGAGTATTAAAAGTACAGTCCAAGCGCCACTAACTATATAATACTTGGAGCATAGTGGAAGTTTGGTGTTACACGAAATGTTATACAGAGCCATTGTTCCTGAAACTTCACTAGTATATAGTTGTTACCTCTCTAAAATTGGAGATCAAGTTCAGATCCAATTCAAATCTAGTTTATCACTTTTTATTGCCAGAATGTTTGCCGTGTATTGTAAAGTTTACATTGCACAATATAAAAAATTAGTGTAACATTTTAAATTTCCTTGATAGGCCACGTGATTTTCATTATTTTGATTGGTAGACAGACCTCAATAGCCAATGATTAGATTTTTATCTATGCCTGAATACTAATGTCAGGGTGATAATTTTCTGGGATTATTTTATTTGCTAATTACTTAAAGTTTTAGAAAGGAATTTGCCTATTACTATATAAAAAATCTTGGGAAACTTCTTTCCATAATGAAACAGTCAAGTGTAAACTTAAGTTTATTTTAAATATTTATTAAGATCATACAATATGATTTTATTTTCTATTAATATGATGAAAACAACACCATCATTTCTACTAACAAAGTGTAGATTCTTGTATCAACTCCAGAACTGTACTTTGTTCCTTTCTCTCTAAAAGCCTTAAACTGCGAACCATTTGGAGCTTCAAGTGTTTCATGGTGATGCTACCACCAATATCAAAAAGTCTGGCTTATATCCTTAACCTTTTCCATCAGATTTCCTTCAGGAACTTGATAGTGACAGTTTGTTAGCCCTATCGGAAAAAAATTACAATATGTTTATTGAAATATTTCATCTTAGAAGAAATGCCATATACATGTAAACAATACCAACAATAGCACTATTCTGTAAGAAATTTTACAAGTTAATAGTTCTTTCCGCATCATCTAGAAAAAAGGGACGTAAAATAAATGCAAGGTGTGATGAATATATGTATCTTTGATCATATGATGATTATTGAAACTTGTAGACCAATTTTCACCACTAGCTAGGTACAGTGTGTGAAATTGAGCGTGTTACATTAAAGGTAGCCAATAATCTATTAGCAGAAAATTCTTGTGAAAAATATACATTATTATACTAGAATAATTTCATTTTTTGAGCATAATTCTATTTTTATAGAGATACTAAATTGGTGAATGATGAATTTTCTGAAATTGTTGAAAAAAGGAAAACTCATAGAAGAGTGGAGCTCTCTAAAATTCTATTTGTATCCCTATAAAAATATACACGGAAATGTATTTTATTCAATCGTGGAAACACATTTTGGATACAGATGAAAATTTTTATTTCAATTATCAAGTTTAACAATTATTGTTGGAGTAACACTCCTTATACCTTTTTCCAGTGCAATGTTGAAAGAATATTTTCACAAACAAATCTGATAAAAACAAATTGAGAAATAGAATGCATGTAGATTATACATGTTGTCAAATTAATTTGGCTTTTTGACTCAATTCCTACAATCTCAATTTTTAATTGCGTCAAAAAAGTCACCCGAGTGATCAACACACTAGCTAGGCATATATATCAATAATGCTATTTGTATAAAGTCAAGTGATACATACGTGTGAATCCAACTAACAAGTATGCTTACCTTCACAAGCCAAGTAAGCCAATTAATTGGTAATCAAAAATACCCAAGAGAAAGTTAAAAGTTGTGGATTTCAAACAATTGTTTAATAAAAAGATTGAAGGGAATTGCTGCCTCTACTTCAAAAAACCTCCATCAGCAAAAAATAAATATCAGAAGGAAAACAATAGAGAGTCAATAAAGAAAAGAATAAAAAAAAAAAATGGGGGAGAAGTTGGATTCAATAATAAATGAAACGATCAGGGTTTCAAGTATGTGTTGGCGTTAGAGAAGGACACAAGCATTGGCTGGTTGGAAGAAAAAAGTTGAGAGGTAATTCTTCTAAACTTTTTTTTTGTTCTCTTTCCAAACAATTGGAATCATTATCAGTTAGTTACAAATAAACATTATGAGTAGAGTGATTGATGATTAATCAACTAATTACTTGGATTTCACAAATTTGGCAGTGTTGAATTTGGCCTGGCTGCCATCATTTCGCTGTCAACAGTGATATGTGTGATATCATTATTTTTATGAAAATTGTAATGTATTATTATTCAATAAAAAAAAACTTTATGATTTCATTAAGATAATTAATTAATTTTTTAAAATAAATTATTTATTGAAAATTATTTGTGATATGGATATATATCGGTAATATGGTAGATGTTATATTACCATTATTATTATTCTGGTTTATCTATTTGCTATTTTTCTCTCATCTAATATATCTTCATTCCTTCGTTTTATTGACTTTTTCACTCCGGCTATTTCGTTCATTAATCTGTTCATTTCTTCCTTTAGATTTTCCCATTTTTTACTTTCGCTTTGGCATTTTTGCTTACCAAGTACTTCGC